GTAAAGTGTCCAATGTAGGTATCGGCATTGATCACCATATCGACGATATTCCGGACACGTAATTCGGTAATATTGATCACATTGTTAGAGCAAAGAAAACTAATACTCTGTAAGAGACTATTACTTCCGTTGATCGTGTCAAGCTCGACAGGATAATAGTCTTTATATTTTTGAATATCGGTTGATGCTAAACGGTTAAGTTTATACTCGAGCGCTATTCGATCTTGAAAGTGTCGATTGAGATCGAATGATTTTAATGTAACAACAATGAATGAATAAGTTTCGATAATTGATGCAAATTGTTGACATGTTCGATGAGTTTCATTAAAATCAATTTGACGCATGGCATGATCTTGTAAGGTTGTTGGTCACTATTTTTCAATTTAAGTTTGAAGCATAGTTGAATGTGTTGTAGAATGATGTGTTCAATTCCATCATTAATCTGAGTCTCTATAGTCTCAGCAATATTCTCAATGTGAAAATCGTTTCAATCTGTCCTCAAATACGCGGACATTCTGACCATATTTATGATCGACTTCATCGAACTTTTTCACCTTTACCATCACAGCAGATCAATGTCAATGAAACACCGATTCATATTCTATGGACTGGTAAACAACACTTGTCAGCTCTGGATACCAGTTCACGTTGGTTACCCGATCGTGTCGTACCTCTTCTTCCCGCTGTAAGTAATCACATACATCATATCTATTCAAGATTTGTGGACATTTCTTTTTGTTCAGATGCAAATCCAACAACCAACAAATCCAGCAGTAAACGAGATGTATCTACAAATTCCAGGTAAATCCATGTCCAGATCACGATCCATTAAAGTTGAAAAAAACAGGCGACAAATACACAAAATATTGTGGATAGAAGTTATTTTCCAAGTGTATAGTTAGATAACTATGGAATTCAAGTGTGAAAAAGGATAGATTCGTTTCGACAGGACATGCGAATCTTTCGACTTCTTTGTCATGATCTGAATGACGAGAGAAAGAAGACCGCTTTTGTACGTAAGTTTCATCGTAAACATTCAGAACTCGATCAAACACTGGTGTTTCTTTTGTCATACACGATTGTCGCACAGTTGCTTTCAATGGTTCGAATGTATTTTATTGAATTATTTGTTTGTAGACACCAGATTTTATCGTACTTATCGTTGCAACTGTTCGATCACCCAAAGTGCCTTAAATGATGTTGTAACTGAAGATGTTCAAAAAGCTCGATTGGAAGCTGAGGCTAATCACAAACCATTACCAGACTTGAATTTTCAATGCCCAGAATGTCAATCACCTTGTACGGATTATCGCTACGATGCAGATGAAGTGAAGAAATATCGCGCAAAATTTACGCGTGGACGCTACATATACATTCTAATTGATAAAAGTCCGTCAATGGCAGTTCGTTTTATGGAAGAAGACTCGTCGACAGTGCGCCCGGGAGAAGTCAAATTATCACGTTTCGACCAAACAAAAGTAGCAGTAAGAGAATTATTGAACCAAATTGCTTCCAGTGCAGGTCCGATGGATAAGATTGTAGTAAATACGTTCGATAACCGATTAACGGAGCCGGCGCTCATTCAAGAGTGTGAGGCTTGCAATGCGAATAGTCCAGAAAATCTCCAAAAGCTTGATTCGATCGAAATGAGTGAACTCTTCAGTGGAAACTTCAGTAGAAGCTTGAGTAGAAGCTTGGGTTTGAGTGCAACCTTGAGTAGAATCTTTGTGCAAACCCATTTCTGTGAAGTATTGAAATCAGTCTATCAATTACTCGAACGACAAACTTTTTACGAAATTCGATTGCACGTTTTCTCGGATGGCGAAGATACCAGTGGTGACAAAGAGAATATTGAACATTTTCGGAACATTGTCAAATTGCTTCATCAACAACTCGGTGTCGATTGTGCATTTGTTCAGTGTGGAACATCGTTGGCAAATATTCGTTTTTCGAATTTTAACTGGCTTGTCGATAGAGCCTCTATTTCAGCAATGTCCGGAAGTAAATCGATGATTCTAGAACAATCTATTCGTCTCTACCAACAATATTATCCAGAACGACATAACACACGAGAAAATGTTTCTCGTACTTTAACTGAAGATTTTGACGAGCGTGACAATGTTTATCGAATTCGCCGTAGACGCACAGTTGTGCCAGCCAATGAAGTACCAACGTGGTCAATCGATACATTTCGCGAGCCGATAGTTTTGGATATACGTCACGATTCTGAAGCAGTACCAAGATCACAAACGAGTTATTCGACAACACAGCCTAAATCATTTATGTATGTTATGGGCGTACGAAATTATCGTCGAAAAATATAGAGATGCATGACAAAATAAACGAATTCGGTTTGTTGCATTGTCATTTTAATATGCGAATTTTTTGTGTGCATTATTTTAATATACAAGAAAAGAAAACTGAGTATACCATGTTGTTGGGACACGGTGCAAATTCTTCAACACAGAAAATAATGATCATTCCACGAAAGCGTCTATCACGGATGGAAAAGTTGATCATCCGATATCAGTTCTGATTCTAATACTATTGGAGTATTGGGTATCGGGTAGGTATTGGTGAATCGATCATAGACATGGAGTTGGAATCGAGTTTTGTCGTAAACTCAATTATTTTTTTCTTAAATTGATATGAATAACTTCGGTTGGAGACACCGAAACTCCCAACAAATGTACATTACTGGTAATAAATCAAAAGTTGTTCATGCCGGATGTTTTTTCTGCTTCGCTTTTATGAACCTTATTTACTCAATATTGGTCTGCTCCCGTTTTTGGACAGCA